TCCCACCAGCTCCCCTGACCTGGAGCCCAGGAGCATGCTGAGCGCTGATGAAGAGCCCCGCCGCCGGCCGCCAGCCACGAGGCCCAGAGACCCCCCGCCCAACACGTCGGTTTTGTATCCCAAACCCAAACTGGCCGCTTCACTCTGCCGCAGGTCCGAGCGGTGCCCCCTGCGGTGGTGCTGGGATTCACGCGTCGGGGCGCGGTGGAGTCCACAGAGCCTGTGTCTGCAGAGTTCGTGCAGGACACCCTCCCCCGCAGGCCAGCTGTGCCCAAACCCCACGTCAGTGCTAACGGCGCTGTTCTTAATCGCTGTGGTGGGAGAAGAATGTGTCGCTTCCAGTGAAGCACACATGACAGGATACAACTTACCTGCCTTTTAAATGTTGACATCCTGACCCTGAAGCCCTGGGCATCCAGCACCTGAACCCCGACACTAAGCATCCTCTGTACGGGCAAAGCCACCACGTAAGAAAAAGCCCTATAGGGCCCTCCCCAGGGGCGCAGCGGGTTACGGCGCAGCACTGAGAAGCTGAAGCCGCCTCAGCGTGAGCTCGATCCCCACCTGCCCCGGAGGTGACCCCAGGGCACGGCAGACCTCTCCTGACCGCCCGCTGCTCCCCTCAGCAGTGTACTTTGTCAGTCTGCCTGCTCTGCTCCCCGCTCTGTCCCTGGCGAAGCCTCTCACTGCCCCTGAGCCTCTGCCAGTATGCCAGTTCTGTGTGAATAAATAAATCTTTTTAAAAAGAAAAGAAAAAGCCCCACAAAGTGTTAGGAGCTGTGGCTGAAACTCCATCCAGGCAGGCGTGTGGGTAAACCCCGCGGAAGCCAGGCACAGCGTTAGCCTGCCCGTGCCCCAGGCGTGCCTGCCCCAGCCTGAGTCCTCAGCAGCGCCGTCGTGGGTCCTTGCAACGCGCAGGAGGTGCAGGCAGTTGCATGTTCCTTTCCTGTCCCCGTGCCTTGCACGCAGCAGGTGTCGGGCAGGTGCGGTGGGAGAGAGCGCAGCGGAGGGCCCCTGCGTGGCCGGCGCCGTGCTGGCTCTGCTGAGAGCACCCGGGAGGCGGGACGCGGGCGGAACTGCCACCACGCGGCCTGTGAAAGCGACTGGCCCATCGCAGAGCCCCACGTGGGAGGCACCTACGGAGTTGCACGGCAGCAGCCCCTCCGGGGAGCGGCGCTCAGGTGAGGCCCCGTGGTGCGCGGGTCTCCTCAGCCACGCCCGCCCGCTCAGCAGTCTCCCCTGCACCTCGGGGCCCGAGGCCCTCCTCTGGGACCCAGTCTCTGCCAAACAGGGCCCGCGAGACCAGCTGCGAGCATCCCGGAGACCGTCGCACCGCCCCTCCAGCCACTGTGCGAAGCGCACGGTTTCTGTCACTGCTGGCGGCCACCGGGTCTGCGGCCGTCAGCAGTGCGAAGTTCACGCCTTTCCTTTGACAGTCTTTTGAAGCGCAACTTCAGAAGAGTCTTTGGGTATTAGGGTGTGTGTCTCAGTGGCGCAAAAGGCCTCAGAGGCGCGTTCAGAGACCAGAGGCCTCGGGTCAAGCCAGAGCAGCCGCAGCAGCCCCTGGGCGCCAGCCTGCAGGGCCTCCCTCGGGGCTGGGCAGCAGGGTGCCTGAATGTTGTAAGCTAATTATCATTTTTACTTGCGTAGCGTCTCTTGAAAATAACAGCAGCAAAGAACCTCTTCTACACCAGATTTCACCCGGGGCGAAGTGGGGCCACACTGAGCAGAGCAGGTGACCCTCCAGCAAGCCACCTCTGCCGTTCTCTCCTGACAGCTAACCGCGGGCCTACATAACTCCTGGAGCACTGCTGAGACAGATCCAGAACATAGCACCCCGAGAAACAGCTGCTCACCCGGGGCGCTGGGGTTCCTCTGTCCAGAAAGGAAACCAGAAAGCCTGTTCCTGCCGCCGCACCCAGGAGGCCGGGCCCCGGCCCCCCTGCCCCATCCGTCTGCACGGCCCTGTGGCTCAACCAGGGAAGAAGAAGTTTTAAGGGGACGCAGAGGAATTGGCAAGGGTTTGGCTGAGCGTCCGTCTCTGAAGTGACAGAAATGATCAGTCGCCAAAGTGCCCTGTGAGAAGCCCGAGGACTGGACTCCCTGAGCCGACGGGAGGGAAGCCCGGAGCAGGGTCCGTCTGTCCGACGGGGCTGGGTTGGGCAGCGCTCAGCAGTGTCCCCTCGCTCTGCTGGGGACCGCCCCGTCTCAGGGACAGCAGGGGAGACCCGCCACCGCGTCCCATGGAGAAGCGGGGCGTCGCTCGGAGCTGAGGGCAAGCGCCTGTCTGTTCTGCTGAGCTCAGGCTGCAAGGCCAGAAGTCGGCAGCTGTTTCCTAACCTCCGCTGCCGGGGCAGGAAGGTGACAGCTGGCCCCTGAGGGCACCGTCCGTCCTGTGTCCACAGACTTAGGGGGGAGTCCGGTTTCAGCGCATTCAGGAGCTGGCCGGTGCGGCCCCTGCCCCGACAGCAAGCCGCAGGGCACGCCGGCCCCCGCTGTGGAATGAACACCGGGACCTCGGCGAGTCCCGGGACCCTTTCTTTGGGGTCCGAGACTTCAGAGTAACGTTCATTCGTGGCAGTGGCACTTGCAGAAGGAGCGGCCGGGCTTGTGTGCCCAACGTGCCATCCGCCCTTGGGGAGGCGTTTCCATGGAGACGTTTTAGGAGAAGCCACTACCTGTGCTCAGGAGGGGGAGGCCGGCCTGGCCAGGGCCTCGTCGGTCTGTCCGCGGGCTGAGCCCCGAGGTGGGGCCACGGCCTGTCTTGTGCCCAACACACAGACCAGCCGGCGCCGAGGGGCCCACCCTCGGGTGCGGGTGGGAGGACGCATAAAACCTGCCATTAAAATGCAGTCTGCCGGGCGGGTAAGCAGCTTGCAGGGACTGCTGGGATGCAGGTCTGAGAAGACAAAACGCCAGCTGACACCATCAGAAACATCCCTGCGCCTGTGTCATTTGGAGCAGAGGAGTCACCAGAGGGGAGGCAGGCGGGGAAGGGGCGCCGAGCTCCGGTGGACGGGACCCCCACGGCCCGGCTAGGCGCAGCGTCCCTGGCCCCAGAGGAAGCCGGCGACACCCAGCCGCTCCCAGACAAGGCTTCCCGGGCGGCTGGCCTCGCAGGCAGAGCGCGGGCGACCTGGCCCAGGCCCCGAGGCGCGGTCTGCTACCCCCCGGAAAGGGGGCCGGTGCGTAACGCGCACGTGCAGACGCCGCCTGATTCCCCGCGGGGAAGAACAGGTGACCCGCGCCCCCGCGCAAATCCGTTCCCACCAGGATTCATCACCCCGCAGAGTCCCAGGTAGAAGGGAGACTTCAGGGGGGCCGTCAGATCTCCTACCACCGCTGGTCAGTTCCCCGTGGTTCCTTCTGGGGTGGCAAGAAGTTCCGATCCTGCAGAGAGAACTGTGCTTCTAAGAGAGGGGTTAAGGAAAAGGACAAAGTGGGGCCTCCCCGGTGGCGCAGCGGATTAGGGCGCAGCACTGTGAAGCTGCCGCAGCCCCCGGAACGAGTCGGATCCCCGGCCAGGGAGGGACCCCAGGGCACGGCAGACCCCTCCTGTCTCCCTGCTGCTCCCTCAGCAGTGGATTTCAGTCCATCTGCCTGCTCTGCTCCCCTCTCTGTCTCTGGGGAGTCCTCTCACCTCCCTGCACCTCTGGCCTGTGCCCCAGTTCTGTGTGCACAAATAAATCTTCTAAGGACAAAAGACAAAGTTCGCCTGTCACGCGTAGGGGACAGCGTCAGGAGAGGGCCTGCTGACCCTCCAGCCGGGCCCTCGGCCCCAGGCTCCTCCCCCTCCCCCGGGAATCGCCGTCTGGGCCGTGGAGAAGCCGTCCTGATGCGGACCGTGTGGTGGGACTGTCGGGGCGCTGACACATCAGAGCCTCTGTGACCTGGCCCGGGAGGGGGTGCTGGGCCTCGCACTGCCCAGGGCACCCAGACCAGCCTTCCGGACGTTCCCCTCCTTATGCACCCACCTGTGAGCGCAGCCTGACCTGCCCTGTCCTCTGGCACCCTGCCCTCCATTCCTGGGCCCGGCTGAGGTTATACCGGGACGCCCCAACAACTAGCCAGACATCAGCGCCCCACACCACGCCCACGGTGGGCGGCAGCCCTGTCCCCAAGTCCTTCGCTCCCGTCCCTTCTGCCTGGAGGTGCTTCCCGGCCCCCCGTGCTGGCTCCTGGCTCCTCCCGGGGCCCTGGACGGCGCCCCCCGCTGGTGCCGCTGGCACAGCCTGAGCCTGAGCGAGCGCGACGGGCAGCCACTGGCGTCCAAAGAGGCCGACGAGGACCCGCCTGGGCAGCCGGAGCTGGCGTGCCGAGCCCCGGTGAGCTTCCCTGCCCGCGCCCGCTGCCCACCCTGCTCGAGCCCTGATCCCACGTGGTGACCAGAGACTGCCCTCCGGGGCGGCTTCTAGCTTCTCTCAGTGGGGGTGACATCAGCGTAAATCCCGAGACGTCTGTCCAGCTCGCTCCTCTGCCGGCTGCTGTGTGACCACTGGCCCTCCTGTGTGAGTGACTGGCACCTTCCCCACCTGCCCGAGGCCTCACCCGCTCCCTCGACTGGCGGGGGTTTGGGGCATCGTGGGAGCACCCAGCAGACTGCGCCTGGGCTGGTCGACCTGCCCCGAGGCTCTTGGCACAAGTAACCTCACGTCCTGACCCCAGCCATGCTCGTCGGCCGTTCTCCTGCCTCCCAGGCCCTCTCACCTCTGCAAGCTCTCATTTACTCGCCATCCTACAGCCTTTTTTTAATTTTGAGATTGATTTGTGTGTGCATACAGAGCTGGGGTACGGGCCAGAAATGCAGGGGTGGTGAGAGGCTTCACCAGAGACAGAGTGGGGAGCAGAACAGGTGGATTCACCAAAATACACTGCTGAGGGGATCAGCGGGCGGGCCGGGAGAGGTCTGCCGTGCCGTGTGGTCACCTCCGGGGCCGGGATGGAACTCGCGCTGAAGCGGCTGTAGCTTCTTGGTGCTGTCCCGTAACCCGCTGCGCCAGCAGGGAGGCCCTACAGCTTTTTGATGCCTTAAAAGCTCAGAAAGCACACCGTCTGCTTCTACATCTCTGTCGATGGCATGGGCATGGCACTGGGGGGACGCGCGCTTAAGCAAAGTGAGTCGGCCTTGAGACTCAGACTGGGTGAAACAAGATCTAGGCTGACCACCACGGGGGTGGGGCGGGCTGGAAGTGGGCTGGCCATCGTGTCCATCAAGGCAGAGGGAGGGTGACCAGCGACGGACACCCCAGCTCCCCTGAGGAAGCCCACTCTCCCGGGGTGCGCAGGAGTCTCCCCTCTGCACGCGGCCGCAGCCTCCTGTGGGGCTCAGGCGTGGTCCCAGCCTCTTTGAGGGAAACGGTAACAGGTGTTTGTCCATCAGGCAGGGCCACGCCATGTGCCCTTGGGTGCCCGGCTCGGGGGACCCAGGTGCCCGGGGCTGCCAAGGTGGCACTTTTCTCTAGCAGAGCAGGGATGAAGCGAGACCCACCTGCAAGCAGGTGCTCGTTTCAAAGCAGTAAATGTTCTCGGGCAGCTAACGTCCCGGTAACATGATTTGCAGACTGAATGAGGACCCCAGGGCAAGTGCGGTTTCCGAGCCGCAAAGTAATAAAAGATGAGACTAGAAATTGATGAGCAGTGACTTGCTTTCTTCTCCGGTGTGGATTGAACCCGCCAATAAGAGCCTTATAAATAACTAATGAGAGAAGGAGGCTCAGCGCCATGACGTGAACCCCCACTCTGGGGAATTCCAGCCACCCCGGGGACAGCCGGCGCCCCCTCCTCGGGGTAAAGGGCTCCTGCCACGTCACCCGACCGAGTGGACAAGCAGCGTCGCCCGCCTGCCGTCTGAGCCATGCGCAGCAGGGTGTGTTGCGGAGAGAGCGCCCGAGGCGTGGGGGTGCGGGATGGCAGCTCACAGGGCTGCGGAAGGCGGGCCGGGCCGGTTGCAGACTGCCAGCCCGCGCCCTCCCGCCTCGCCAGGAGGGGACGCGCCTGGCAGGCGGCCTCGGAGGCGAAACCTGCCGCCTGGGGCAGGACCCGGGGCTTGGCTCTGAGTCATTCTGAGGCGGGGCAGCCTTGCCGTGCGCCAAGCGGTCAGCCGGTGTAGACAGGGCCACAGGCCGTGCTTTGCAGTGGGGACAGAGAGCTTCAGGGACGAGAAACACACACCTGTCACCTGTCCAATGTGCTGGCACTCAGGACCGAAGGGCAAGCGTCGCCCCCAGAAGGGCCTGAGCTGAAGGCGAAGCCGTTGTGTCGTGGGAATGGCGGGTTCCCGTGGGGGGGCCGCAAGGTGCCTGTCGCCCCTTGGCTGAGTGCGCTGGGCCTTCTCCCCTGTCCTGAAGCTGCACACCAGGATGGGGGAGCAAGCTGCCAGCCAGGTCAGCAGCCGCCCTGCCGCCCGCCTGTGCCCTGACCTGGGCCTGAGTCGGGGTGTGCCAGAGGGCGGCTGCGCAGAGGGGGTGCCGATGCCGGCAGGGCGGGCCAGAGCCCGGGGCCCCGGGATGACGCACTGCTGCTGGGGGCTTCACCGGCACGGGTGGCACTTCCACGCGCCTTGCACAAGTGCAACAGCACAGCACACACGGTCAGGCCCCCCCACAGCCCTCCCCTGTGAGCCCCCCCACCCCGGGTGCTCCAGCACCCTAGCTCAGCCGTCAGCCCCGCGGGAGCAGGCGTGTCCCTCACCTCCTGGCCTTGACCACCTTCAGGTCCATTTGGCCTCTGGTGTTGCTTACACCTGTCTCCGGCTGCTCCAGGAGAGTCTAGAGAAAGGAACTCCTAGCAGGGGCAAGAAAGTGGAGCAGGGCATCCGGGGAGAAGAGGGTGGCTGGGGCCCACCCAGGGCCTCTGAGGGTCAGCTAAAGGCAGGCCTGCCTCAAGGTCGCCGGGAGCAGGACGCCCTTCCGCTGCCACTCAGCCGGCCGGGCCTCTCCTGCCCGGAGCCTCGCCAGGACTCTGTGCCCCTCCGGTGACGCCACCAGGCAGCCTGCGGGCCAGCCTGGCACAGCCCCGGCATAAGAAGACGGTCTTGTGACGAATGAGCCACCGGGCAAGGACTGGGAGCTGAGCTCGGCCCTGGGCCTCGTGCACAGGCAGACTGCGAGCGCTCGGATGCGGTCCTGAGACTTTGTCCGTCGCTGCTCACTCGAGTGTCCGCGTGCCAAGGTGACCCCTGACCCAGAAGGCTCACAGAGGGCTCCCTGGTGTGGTGTCCAGCAGGCAGCTGAGGAAAATGCCGGCTGGCTCTTGGAAAGAATCAGGACCCCCCAGCCTGCCCACCCGGGAGGCTCGGGCTGCGTCCAGCTTGGGGCCGACGGCTGACGGCCGGGCAGAGAAGCTTCCTTCCAGAGTGGCCAGCGCCGACCTCTGAGGAGCAGCTTCTGTGTGACCCACGGGCCGTCCCCTTTCTTCTGCAAACTGCAAAATGGTTATGAAAATTGAAAACATTCAATCTGATATAAAACCAAGTGCAGGCTGCGTCTCCAAGAGGCACCAAATCAGAAGCTGCTGTCAAAACCTTATTTTCCAGCTCCGTCCCCGTGGTGGGGAGAGCATTTGTGGGGGCTGTGGGGGCCCTTCCACATGCCACGAACAGCTGACTGCGTGGCTCTGCCCCCGGCTCTTGTCTTCCCAAGCTAGCCCTGTGTTCTTGCTTCCGGCTGTCACTTCACTCGTCACCTACAGATGGCATTTTGAAGGCAGCTAATTGAGGGACTGTGCTGCTGGCTTCGGGCTGATCGTCCTGACAGGAAACGTGTCCTCTGCAGAGGAGAGGCGGGGCCGCGGGCCTTGCTTCTCCGCTTGGCGAGCGACGCCCTGCCTCCCCCGGACGGCCGAGCAGAGGCAGCCCCCTGAAGTGACCGCCACGTCCCCATGTCCCTCACCGGCTCTCTGCCTGCCCTCTCTCCGGTACGCCACGCCCTGCCCACCCATGGCTCAGCCCCTGCAGGATTACGCCGCCTGCTGCCTCTGGCCACCTTCTCCCCGCTGCCCAGCCATCGGCTCACCGAGTCAGTACTCAAGCTCCTTCTCAGGAGAGGCAGCCTCGCGGGGATCAAGGACCGGCATGTGGACACAGCTCCACAGACGTGGGCTGCTGGCGAGTGGGCCCCTCCTCTGGGAGCAGCCGTGAAGCACGTGTCTCCCACCTGGTGCCAGTCCTCAAGGGGGACACCGAGGGGGACGAACAGTGGGCACAAGTCAGGACCCCAGTTTGCTGGTTCTGCATGGTCCTCACATGCTCCCACGGTAGCCCCGGGCCGCACTGCAGCAGCAGCAGCGGTGACACGCAGCTCGCCCGTCCCCTCGCCACCCGCGCGTGGCCTGTGTCCCGCTCCGAGGGGAAGACCTGGGGAAGTCGCTGCGGCCGGTGCACTGGCATTGCCCAGGCGCCCACCCAGTTGCCACATACAACTAAGAGAAGCGAGTCATTGCCAGAACTCCGAAGTCACCAGCAGAGCCTGTGACTCCGTGGTGAGAACTGAACGGAGCCAGGGACACTTACCGAGGCACATGTGATGCGGCCGCGTACTTCCGGCGTCGTGTTTTCAACCAGGGGAGCGAAGGCGAGTGTCCGTGTCCTGCAGTGGTCATCGCGGGCCTCTGGTTCCCTGTGCTCCCTTACGCTGGCGTTTCCTAACTGCTACCATCCTTCCGTGGCTTCCTGCCACCGCGGTAGCAGGTGGGCAAGCAGAGCAAGGGGGCCGTGAGGGAACGGGGTGCCCAGCCTAAAGCAGGGGGAGCAGGGTGGGGTGGGGCAGCCTGGGGGAGGCGGGGGCCCAGAGCTCCCGTCGGCGTAACCCAAGGGGGATCGGAGGCAGGGGGCAGGGGGCAAGCGGGCGTGGCTTGGCCCGGTTTGGAAAGGTCTTTCTGTCCCTTGAGAACACTGTCACCCTTGGGCTGTTAAGCCACATTTTCACAATTCAACAAGGAACTATACCAGACATGTCATAAAAATAATAATTCCTGCCTCCATAACTCATGAATTTAATCCCAGGAGGATAAATATATAGATGAGTACTATAAGCCTAGTACTAACATACAGCCCATTGCAAAATACAGACGGTATTTTTTTTAAGATTTGTTTATTTATTCATACAGAGCTGGGGTACAGGGCAGAGGTGCAGGGGTGGTGAGAGGCTTCACCAGAGACAGAGTAGGGAGCAGAACAGGCAGATCAACGAAGTCCACTGCTGAGGGGAGCAGCGGGCGGGTCAGGAGAGGTCTGCCGCGCCCTGTGGTCACCTCCGGGGCAGGCGGGGATCGAACTCATGCGGAAGCAGCTTTAGCTTCTTAGTGCTGTGCTGTAACCCGCTGCGCCACCAGGGAGGGCCACAGATGGTATTTTTTATGGTTCCATATACCTGGTTATTTTCTTTATGAATATTGCCACTTCACCAGCAAACTAAAATATGAAAAGTATAAATATAACATAACTTCCATCGAGAAAAGGGAGGGAGGTCCATAGTGAACTACCTGAAATCAAGTGTGCCAAAACTGTCTTGAGTTTTCTTTTTTTTTTTTTTTAAGATTTATTTTTTTGTGCATACAGACTGGGGTTCAGGCCAGAGGTACAGGGGCAGTGAGAGGCTTCACCAGAGACAGAGTGGGGAGCAGAACAGGCCGATGGACGAAGTCCACTGCTGAGGGGAGCAGGGGCAGGTCAGGAGAGGTCTGCTGGCCCTGTAGGTCACCTCCAGCATTGGGGATCAGACTCGCACTGAGGGCTGTGGCCAGCTTGCAGTGCTGCGTCCTAACCTGTTGCGCCACCAAGGAAGGCCCGTGGCTTTGAATTTTCGCGACAATCCAAACGCTTTCAAAATGTTGACCACGGGGGCAGGGCCTTCTCTCCCAGCTCCCTGGCACTTGCTGTTTCTGGACTGTCTGACATGGGGCATCCTCACAGGGGCCCCGGGGGCACCTTGTGGCCTTGTTTGAGCTCTTTGATAGGCAATGACCCGAAGCCTTTGTGGTCGTCTCTGGCCTCTGGGAGAAGTGCCATTTCAGCTCTTCCAACATTTTGGAATTGAGTTGTTTGCTTTCTTCGAGGTGGCGTTGGGTGCGTCCCTCACGTGCCTCAGGTATTAGCCCCTTCCTGGCCGGATGATGTCCAGTGTCTTCTCCCACCAGGCAGGCTTTTTCGTCAGCTGTTTACTGTCACTGAGCAGAAGGCTCTTGATTCGCAATAGTCCCAGTGCAGGGACATCACTGCCAGGTCTCCCAGGAGATCGCCAGTGCGACCTGGGGGGACGGCCCCCGTGTTCTCATCTCTGTGTTTTAGGGCTCCAGAGCTCACACCCAAGTGTTTTCATCTATTTTACATCAGTTTGCATCTGCACTTAGGGAGTGGGCCAGTTTCATTCTTTCGCCTGGGGCCCTGTTTTCCCAGCACCGTCTGTGGACGGTGGCATGGTCGTGGCTCCTTTGTCACGTGTCAGGTCCCAATAGATGCTCGGGTGTGTGGTTGGCTCTCGGTTCTGTTGCAGTGATTGCATCGGTCGTGTGAAGTGAAATGAGTCAGAAGGAGAAAGACAAATATTGGACGATGTTGCCTGTATGTGGAATAGAAAGAAACACAGGTGATGAGCAAAACAAAAGAGAATGAGACAGAGCTAATGCTACAAGAGGGGACGCGTGGAGAGGGGACAGCTGAGGCAGAGGGACTCGGGGGTGCTGCGCTTTCTTAATAATGAAACAAGAAAAACCTGAATAAGCTCATACACCGTAACGTCATGACCACAGCATGTGCTCTGATAGCCTCCGCCTGCTTCCAGCCCTGTCAGAGCCTCCCAACTCGCCCTTTCTGCCCGAAACTTCCTCTTGAGCAGCCCTCGGCGGCCCTGCTAGCCGGTGGGGGCAAGGGGGTGACTGGAACCCCAATTCCTTCTTTCGGCAACATGGCAATTGAAGCTCTGGGCTGCCATCTCCCTGGTGTTTAATTCAGAGTCGCTTCGTGCCCTTCACCGAGTGAGAGCTGGTCACAGCCAACGGTCAATACACGTCCACTGTTAATATATGAAAGCGCCAAGGCCAGTAACGACCGAGACCGAAGTCTGAAGTAAAAGCAAAGTGAGCCTGTATTAGCTAGCTCGAGCTAGGGTCCGGCCCAGAGTGATCCGACGCAGCGGACCCCCTTGAGAGGGAAGGACCCCGGCTTCTTAACGTCATGGGCTTCTACAGGCATTGTGGGAGGGGCTGGGCGGTCACAGTCCCTGCCTGCCGGATGCCTGGTGCAGATCACAGTTAGGTCCTGGAACATTTACTCCAGGGAGGATCGAAACTTATCTTTGGGCAACAGTTTTAGCAACAGTTTTGCTGGCCTTCCGGCCTTCGCATCCTCTACACCGCCAGCCTCACAACTGCGTCTTTGCACTCAGTTGGACTCATGCGTGAAGTACCTCCAGGAAGCCCACCGAGTCTCCCAGGAATTACTGCACAAGGACTGCAGTGTATTGTTCCAAAGCTGCACTCCCCTGACTCGAACTGTAAGTTCCCTGAGGGGAAATCAGTCGTACCAGCACAAAGCAGGTCCTCGAAAACTCTTTGCTTGATTAGGCGTGCCCGGAATCACGTTCCAAGAGCTGAATACCAATTCCTGCTCCTCTGACACTTCAGAGTCTTATTAAACAGGTCTGTTATATAAATTCTAGGCTCCTACATTTAATCAAGTTCTTAATCATAATGAGCAGAATTTATGAGAGGGCAGTTACGGATTCCCAAAAGAAGTGGAAATAGTAAATTGCTAATAGCCTCCCTAAGGATTTGCTTTCTGCACTGATAAATTATGTAATTCCATTATAGAGGTGTGTGAAGCAAAAAAAAAAAAAGCCTTTTAAAAGGCAGAAGACCCCAGCTGCCAGGGTTTCTCCACTCTGTCCCCATCATCACGCCTCTTGTGTGAAACCCCCTGTGACTTAGTGACTGTCCAGGAAGTTGCTAAAGTTCTTAGGGCCGCACGGTGAGTGGGACTTCAGTTTCATCAGACTGCCTGGAAACTAACCCAGGCAGCACATACACACAGAGAAACCAAAGACGCATAATGCCGTGCACACTTGGGCGACACTTCCAGTTTACTGTGAGCAGCCTGGAGTTCAGAGCGAGCTTTAAAGACTCTAATATTTCCTGCTCCTCCCGCTGCGTCAGTGTTGCTGGGTCCAGACAACCGAGCAGAGTAATGAGCAAACGAGGCTGAGTACACCTGTCTTCCCCAGCACTGAAATTCAAACATTTGTGCTCACTGAAAAGAATCTCAATTAATTTTTTTAAAGATTTATTTATTTATGCATATAGAACTGGGGTAAGGCCAGAGATGCGGAGGGTGAGAGGATTCACCAGAGACAGAGAGGGGAGCAGAACAGGCAGATCGATGAAGTACACGGCTGAGGGGAGCAGCGGGCGGGTCAGGAGAGGTCTGCGGCGCCCTGGGGTCACCTCCGGGGCAGGCGGGAATCGAACTCATGCAGAAGTAGCTTTAGATTCTCAGTGCTGTGCTTTAACCCGCTGCGCCACCAGGGAGGGCCCTCAATTAATTTTTTAACTATGTTTATTGGGGTTTAGAAAAAGGGTATGTTTGTTAATTACTCTAATAGGGACAAAGTTTTTGCTTGAAAGTCACCTACAGGGCCCTCCCTAGTGGCGCAGAGGGTTGGAGCGCAGCACCGTGAAGCTGGTTGGGGCCGCTTCAGTGTGAGTTCGATCCCTGCCTGCCCCAGAGGTGACCCACAGGGTGCCGCAGACCCCTGCTGACCACCCGCTGCTCCTCTCAGCAGTGGACTTAGTCAGTCGGCCTGTTCTGCTCCCCACTCTGTCTCTGGTGAATCCTCTCAACGCCCTGCACCTCTGGCCTGTACCCCAGTTCTGATGCACAAATAAATAAACCTTTAAAAAAAAAAAAAGGAAAGAGAGAAAGAAAGTCACTTACCTTTTCCGCTCTCAGCAACTGTTGTACCCCTCATTGGTAAAGTATGATATGACGTCACTTCCTTCCAACATGAGTGTATTGATGTCACTCATTATCTAAAGCAGCTTTAACAAGCAGATTCTTTTTTTCTTTTCACTTTTTTCTTTTTGCTTTTCTTTTTTCTCTCATTCTTTGGAAAATCACCCCAAGTTTCTGTGGAAAGAAATTAAAATGCCCAGACACATGCTCCTTCCCTAGTGTGCTCCCACGTGGAACCAATTAGGACAAGAATACAGAGACGCGGTGCTGATCTGAGCCCGAGGCTGGCACAGTGCCTTTTTCTTACGACCTGGTTTATTCCTGACACTCTTCTTGGCCCAGATGTCCTTTTCCTCACTTTTTCTGAGCCTGTGTGCCCTGTGATGACGCACTGTCAAGGAGCAGGGTCAAAGGGACCGTGTGTGTGCTGAGGGGGTGGGTGGAGAGCATTGGGATTCTCAAGAAAAAAAACACTCAATGGTAGTTAGAGAAGCCTTTTCAGCGGCAGCTTCTGCACCTTCCCATAGCTTTGAAGGCGTCAAGGCACCACATTGGTGCAGCTGTGTATCGTGCAGACACCAGCTTGACTCAAGTATTCTGCTCCTGGCCAGTACTGCCTCTCCACACTGTTTCTCAGTGCAACCGGTCCCCTCTCTGTCCCAGGACCGACTTAGTGGCTGTAGGTGGCTTTCCCTGTCTGTTACCATGAAGAAAGAGGCACCGCGGGCCTGTTCCCAGTGGCTGAGTGGCGGTTAGCATTGCTTATAAAAATGGATGTTTTAATGCTAATTAGTTACAGCGAGAAAGCCAAACACTGTGCTTGCTTTTCTTTATGGGTGCTCTTCAGCATGTGCTGATGCAGGTATTTCAGATAAAGGACTGAAATCGCTAAGTATACTTTCTGGAGAAAGAAAACATTTGCTCAGTACGTAATGAATGAGCCTCTTCTACTTTCTGTTGAGGGCTCCGATAGGTGGTTTTCTATAAAAGGATTTAATGTGTCCGAGGTCTTTTCTGCTCCTGTGATGTCCACTTGGCTCCTTGCGCCCACAAGCCCCAGTCCATCAACCTACAAAAGCCCATGCCAGCTGTAACCATAACACAGAGCAGCAAGAGGCAGTGTCTGGCATGACTACTGCTGGGATTGCTCACAAGCTGCTTAAGCTCTCAGTTTCCTCTCTTGTGAAATAAGGGCATTAAAATCCCTTTTGCAGGGTTGCTGTGGTGGTGAGAGAGGAAAATCAGGCCAACTTCGTGGGTGGGTGACCTTTGTGGTCACACAGGGTCCTGTTTTCAGAGGGCTCCATGTGGTTTAATGCCCTCCTACCCCCTCCTCAAAAGACTAAAGAATTTTTATTATTGAGTTAGCATTGTCATTCGTGCTCAAAACACCTCGAGATTAATGACAATGAGGATAAAACCACCTAAAGCCATCTTCTGCATAAGCAGGGAATTATAGCAGGACCGGCCCAAGCCAAAAAACAAGAAGGTGCTCCAATAACTAATCTGATCTCCTGTCTTTAGGATCTAAATAATTTAAGATTTATTTACTTATGCACACAGAACTGGGGTACAGGCCAGAGGTGCAGGGATGGTGAGAGGATTCCCCAGAGATAAAGTGGGGAGCAGAACAGGCAGATGGATGAAGTCCACTGCTGAGGGGAGCAGCAGGACAGAAGGGGTCTGCTGCACCCTGTGGTCACTCCCTGCTCGGTCTGGAACTGGTGCTACAGTGGCCGCAGCTAGCTTTGTAGTGCTGTGTTTTAACCCGTTGCACCACCAGAGAGGCCCTAAATGATGTTTGCATGAGAGGCTCTGCATTTTCATTTTGTGCTGGCTCCAGAAATGACATAGGCAGCGTAGGCTAAGTTATGCTGCAGTAACAGGAAAGACTCCAAAATCTGCATGTCTTAACAACCAAAGTTTGTATCTTGCTCATGACACCCGCACACCCTGAGAGACCAAGCTGAGAGGTTCATTTGAACCTGAATTTCCACAAACTCACATCAGAGGGAAGGGACCAGGAATTGTACACTGGCCCCTCGAGTTCCCCACCACCCCCTGCCCCCAGGGTAAAACTTGCCCCTTCTCATCCCTCTGGTTTGCCCAGACCTGACCTATCGACCCTGTCTACGGTCTAGGGGGCTGCCTGGGAATAATCAGAGTGATGAGGCTTGGAGCAGAAGCCACGCTCACCACACACAGAGCCCGCCTGGTGTGCCGCTGCAGCCCCGCCTCCAGAGAATGATGTCAGAGTGCTCCTGAGACCAAATCAAGCCACACTTACCTAAAAGTCAGGTACTTTCTTTTCAAAGAAGTCCTTCATTCTCTTATTGTGTAAAGAGTTCAAGGTTCCTCTGACTGGCACCTTCCCTGGGGATGGAGCAGCTGCTAAGAAATTTAATGTTGCAGCGTCCGAAGGAATCCTTCTCCTCACCAACAGAAACACTTAAACCAGCGCTGTGATTCCGTCATCCCACTGTCGCAAAATCAAAATGGCATTGCTGTTTGTTTTCTGACTGTAAAATATCAAGAGATTAACCTAATACACCCAAACAAGATGAAAAAGTAGACAGTGAGCAGACAAAGTAGTAAAATCCTACTACTCACTGTTGCTTCTATGTTTGGGGGCATGTTAGGGTGCACACCCACGCTCAAAATCTGTTAAATATTAGTGTATTGCATATGTTGATTTTGGCATAGGGCTTCATTAAATGAACATGTATGTAATAAATACAGAATCACTTTCCATCATCATGCCAGTCACCGACACGCAACCACATGAGCGCATAAGGATTTATTCCCTCCTCACACTCCTCTTTCATGCTGTCCAGACGTTGCCGCCAACCTTGGTTCCGATTTCAGAAATACTGTCTGTACATACAAGCAAACACATATTTTTTCATCCAATCGTCACATTCTATGTATGAATTTTAGGTACTACATAGTGTTCTCCAACATGGAGGCGCCATGCTTTGTTGCATGAACTACCTATAGACAAACTTTAAATTTTGTTGCTGTGTGATAAGCAACATTACCAAAAATATTCTTGAGCATACATTTCTTTGGAGTTTCCTAGAGTACATTAACAGAAATAAAATCCGGTTGCTGATTAAAAGGAATTCTAAGTATTCATTAGCTAGCATGACTGTATTTATATCTTTGCCTTGGCATAGCTACATAGAGCTTATTTACTTGTTCATTTGATAAGTCCTTTAGGTTTTTTGCAGAGGCCACTTAGCTATTTTGAGGTTAAATGAAACAATCCTTTCAAAAGTATTTTAGTTATTTAGTTAAAGGTGAATTCATCGTGAGCCTATGTGGGTGTGATAGTAGGCAATAGTAACTGTGGATATTATTTTGTAATGTGGTCTGTCTAGTTATCTTACTAGAAAGTAATAACAAGATTATATGATGGTCATCGGCTCACTTTACTTTCCAAAGAAAATCATGCTATAAAGAAAGGCTGACTGTCTGCGTCAGCGGTGCAGACTGGGAAGGCCAGGCGACGTGCTGACGGCCACAGGTCTGGTTGTGCCCCAGACAGGCTGGTCTCTGCCTGTGGTGCTGCAGCACCTGCGGCATGCACCGTCTCCTGCACAAGCGTGTGCCATTCAACAGGCAGTCGTGTCTACCACCGTCCTCGTGTGCGTCGCAGCCATGCCCCGAGCCTTGGAAGAGCCAGCCGTGGTCTAGCCATGAATACTGGCATCTTAGTGTCCTCGGAAAAGCCCACAGAATACGCTCGACCTGTGTCGTTCATTCAGCTCGCTTGATGCAGCTCATGTATAATCAACTATTTATATCTGCCTTGCACAGATCTGTCACTCTGTCTGGCTTATGGATCAGACCATTCTCTACCTCTGCTTCGTGGCTCACGGGGCACAGCCTCCCTCCCAGATGATACTGCAGAGCGAGAGGGAGCTGAGTAAACATCCTCAGAATTTGCTGGTGCTGTCAGGATAATTCTCATATTAGTCATGCTTATGCTTCCTAATAACGTGGCATGTCTTTATCATTTTCCTAATATTTATATCTTCTCATGTATCATACAGAAAAATAAGAATTATTTTTAAATTATTCCATAGCAAAACACCAAAGCAATTTCTCCTCTCAGATGTTCACTGTTCATCCCTCAAAATAAAGTTAAAATAAATCCGTTCCACTCTCCTGCACCTGATGAAGGCCATCTTTGTAACCTATAATCATTAACCTTGTACTAAATAAAATCCCCAACCATTTGTCATCACCAATACAAGCTGCCAATAGCCCGCAAGAAGTGTCATTTAAGGATTTGAACACTTTTAAGGCACAATCATCTCTTTTTTAAATGCTAGGTGGGAAATTCCAGGAGAGCAATGTTCTGGAATAATGAACCACACGGGTGAGTTAAGTGCCCCCGGCTTTGCCTCATGTCCCTCGCTCTCCTGCATCAGCCAAGTTAATTAGCAGACATAATGCTCCCTTCCTTTCAGGTCTCCCCGCCAATTAGCACTGCATGTGCTGGTTTGCAGTAAAGCCACCCACCGCCGCTCGCCCCCCGCTCGCCCCCCGCTGTTCTCTTAGCAGTTCCGTGTACCGCTCTGGATTTCCATTCCTCTCCTTTTCATGCTAGAGAAGTTCTTCACCAGGGGTGTGAGACAGAGAGCAGGGCTCATCTCTTTGCCATTACAGGGTGCCCCATTGAGAGCCAGAGAGGGTAGAAATGCCACATCATTCCACCCCATTTCCTGTGTTCAGAACCCAAAATGCCAAGGAAACCATGGCGGGTCTCCTGCCTTCTGGGGCCGCCACTCCCCACAGCCCTCCCACCTCCCAGGAGCTGTCATTGTGGGCTTTGGAATCACCCACAGTGGGAAATTAGGCTTTAAAAACATTTGACATAAGGCGGAACTTTTCTCCAGGAAAAGCACTTGGACTGAGCGGTTCAGTGCAAGCGAGCATCTCCCTTACACACACTGATAACTGTTATGAACTGAGAGCTCACAAGGAAGGCCTTGGGGATGGGGGATGGCTAAGGACAGGTCTGTTCAATTTTGAATTCTCCACAAATACAGCAAAAGCAGCACCTCCTATGTAGAAGCTAACTTTCTTAATATAAAATATCAAATTCCTTGAATGGAATTCCTAATTATTTTGTGCCTTGGACACCTCTGCTAGTTTGATGAAAATGTTAGACATTTGTTATGGACACTCATTTTAGAGACAAATCCAAAAAAATCCAGTTCTCAGAAGAGCAAAATGAAGTTTACGATTTATAATATGTGCTTCTTTACGAAACAGCACATCAGCGCACTTGAAATATAGGCGCGTTGAAGCTCATTGTGTAAGGACCTACTGAGGGCCTCTGGTTGGCTGGGATGAGATCAGCCAGCCAGTCGGTACTCTGGCTCTCCCCTCCCCTCAGAATAAGCAAGAAACAACTGTAGATGAGAAAAACTGGAATGACGTCTATGTGTGTCCAAGACCCTGGGAGAAGCGACTCTTACACTTGCCCATAGTTTAATGCGACGTCACAGAAAGAGACAGGCCACAGAAGTGAACAGGCCACCTGTGCCCAGTGCAATTTGCTGAAACTGAAGGGCAGGACTT